AAAGATCTACAGTACTATTTTACTTTTAGAATTCAAATGAAGCAAGCTAACCCGTGCTTACTTGCTTTCTTTTTTTTGTGCGTGTATGGTACCAGAATTAAACCCAGGGTCTTCTCACTGAACTACATTCATCCCCTCCCTCTTCTGAGATAGGGTCTCACTTATAGTTCAAAGGCCAGCCCCAAACTCACAGTGATGCTCCTGCCTCAGTCTCCTGAGGGGCATGTATCACCACACCTGGTTCATAGCCCTTTATTATTTTGACACAAATTCTCGAGAAGTCACTAAATTGTCCATACTGTGCTTAAATTTGGGATCCTCCTGCCTCGGTTATAATAGCATTTATCTATAATTTTATTTATTTATTTATTTATTTTTAGTTTTTGAGACAGGGTCTCACTATGTAGTTGAGACTGACCTGGAACTCATTGCGTAGCCCAGGCTGGTCTTGTACTCACAGCAATCCTCCTGCCTCAGCCTCCTGAGTGCTGAGATTACAGGTGTGTGCCACCACACCCGGCTTTTACCTACAATTTTAAACTTTAATCCTAGGAATGTTATTAATTCTACTAGTTCTTTAGAAAAAAAATAAGCTACAGTTAAAGTCTCCTTCTAAATAATGCTATATCCATGTCTTTTATTTTTTTTCCAGTACCAGGAATTGAACTCAGGGCCTTGCAGGTATGGTACTACATCCTTGGCTCTCCATATCGTAAATAAGAAGATTTGCTAACATGGCTTCAGTTATTCTATTGAGCTCAACAATTATGTGTCAGTCCAAAAGACAAAATCAATGGGGAAAGGAGGGAGGAAGGTGGGGGAAAGGGGAAGGAAAGAGAATTAAGATGTGATATGTACCTGTGCCAACTCCCTATGAGAATGTGATCATTGTGTAATGTAAACATGGACTAATAAAATTTTTAAAACTTTTTAAGTGAAAATAAATGAGACTGCACCTGACTGGCAAGGGCAAAGTCCTGAGCTTGATCGCCAGTACCAGGAAAAAAAAGGGAGAGCACCATGCCTGCTTTACAAGCACAAGGTCCTGAGTTCAATCCCAGTAACAGAAAAAAAAAAAATGAGAAAAGAGAGAGGTAGACATACAGATGAACACTATAATCCTAGTACTCCAGGAAGCTAAGACAGGATTTCAAACGTAGACCCAGCCTGGGGAACTTAGTGACTTAGTGACCCGGTCTCAAAATAGTAAGTAAAAAGGGCTGGAGACATAGCTCAGCCTGAAGACCTGGGGTTTAATCCCCAGTACTGTGGTTAAAAAAAAAGGAAAAAATGAGAGAAACAGACACAGAGATTATGTTTTTACTACTACCGGTTCTTATTACTACCAAAATTAATACTAGCCTTATACAAAGAGGACTAGGATCCTGTGTCTGTCTTTGCGAAGCTCAAATTATAGCTATTTACATGTGGTACCTAACTGAAACAGACATTAGCACCTAAGAAATCCAGGCATGGTAGCGCCCACCTGTAATCCCAGCATGCAGGATTCTGCTGAGGCAGAAGGATCACCAAGAGTTTGTGGCTAGCCTAGGCTACATAGTGAGTTCAAGGCCAGCATGGACTACATGACAAGACCCTGTCTAAAAAAAAGAGTAGATGGAAGAAGGGCTATTCAAATTAGGTATCTTTAAGCTGGGACATTAGTCTCCCCCTTTCAGGAAGCAATTGCTCTTTTATGGCATGCCGCTGAGGGACAGGCTGTAGACCGCTTCAGGAACACATTCTGCCTCCTCTTCTGTTTGTGTCCAACAAAAGCTTGCCTGTGCATGGCTGAGAGCACAAGACAAAGAAAAGTACAATTTCTGTAGCAGTATTTCCATACTTTCCATATCTGTGACCATTTTAGGACTCACTGTTCTTCAATGCCTGACATAAAGCTGATCCTGCCTAGAATTTGGATAGGACTTCTTCCTTCTTGCTCTTCCCCTAACACTTTTATCTCTAAGAAATTCATACATTTTCTCCCCCTCACTCTTCCTAGAGGGAGCATGGAACACAGAAGAAAAGCATAAGAAGTTTGCAAAACACTGCTATGAGTTCAAAGTGCATAATCTGTGTGTTTGCTGGGCATAGTGGTGGTGCATGCCTATAATCCCAGTGCTCAGGAGGCTGAGGCAGGAGAGTCACCATGAGTTCAAGGCCAGTCTGGGCTACAGAGTGAGTCCAAGGCCAGCCTGAACTACTCAGCAAGATCCTGTCTCAAAAAACCAAAACAAAATAAAACCACTGCATTTATAACTTGTTTGCTGACTGTACAACTTGTATAAACCTTGACTGGTAAGTCACAGCTGATTTTTAGAGAGTCAATAAGGTCTAAACAGGTCAGCGTAGTAAGACAGAAAGCCAATGGACCAGGCTAGGAAGAACACTGTCAAATCTTAATTTCTCATGGCCAAAAAAAAATCCAAGGTTGACCAATAAGCAACTTAACTCTATTTTATCTAAAAGAAATGGCACAGAAAATGTTGTCAAATGAAAGCATCTATCTGAAAATATGACAGTTTAATAAAAGCACTGCCATTCCAACTCTTCTGAGGACAGAAACGCTGAGTTATAATCCTCTGCATGGACACTCGATGTACCATACTACGTGAGACACCTGGATGGAAGGGCTGATGCTTATAAAGCACTTTAAAAACATTTCGGCACTCAGTATAGTCACAATCTCCAGACACCGTCATCTCAACTAAGAGCAAAGTTCAATACTGCTTTGTTAATGATTTTGGGGGGGGATACTAGGGATTGAACTCAGGACCTTGCAATTGCAAGGCAGGTGATGGAACCATTGAGCTAAATCCCCAGCCCTGTTAATGATTTTTTAAAAATACAGTTGAATTCCTTCTAACAAAAGAGAAGGTAATTGTTAACTCTCTTGGTCCAAATTCCATCTTAGTCTGAATTCATACGATATATTTAACACTGTGGAGTTTGGTTTACCTATGGACAAGCAGAGAATGTAAATATTCACAACAGATTAATAAAAAGAATGAATTCCTTTGTGTGAGCATGATCTCACGCAGTCTACAGAAAAAGTATAAAAACCTTTCATCTCCTGACTTACTGGAGATTCCAAATCTCTGGCCCCCTTTGATTCTTCCCCCTTATCTTGCTAATGCAGTCGTTTCCTCTTACACTGCTTATGAATTATCCTTCCTTTACACTTTCCTCTCTATCCTGCTGATAAAGCCTCACTTCATGAGTCTCACTCTAGATTACAAACGGTTTCTGACTAGCTTATGAGGTAAGGTCACCCGGTTCAATTTACCAACTCCTAGGTTGGTTTCTTCTGCTGCCTGCTTATTTTCCATTTCTTATCTACACAAATCAGGCAGCTTCCTTGGGTCAAGCTCTTCCTGACTGTGTGTTTACTCTGACTCTTCCAAAGGAAATGCCCTCCTTCTCCCTCCTCCTTTTATCTGTTGTTCAATCCCTGGGGATCAAACCCAGGGCCCTCCAGCAAGTTCCTTCTTGCTCCATGTTCACTCGAAGCCCAGCTCATGTCTACTTCCTCTGTGCTATTTCTCTAACCTAACTCTCAGCCGCTCTGCACCTCAGTCAGTGTCACGTGATCTAACGCTGATTCCTGTCTCTGCCATTCTTTCTCATATGACAAGCACGCATCAAGTCTTTTAAAGACTTTTTTTGTTTGTTTGTTTTTTTTGGTTTTTTGAGACAGGATCTCACTATGTAGTTGAGACTGACCTGGAACTCAGTATGTAGCCCAGGCTGGTCTTGAACTCAGAGATCCCCCTGCCTCAACCTCCCAAGTGCTGCGATTACAGGCGTGCACTACCACACCCAGCTTTTTTAAAAGACTTTTTAAAAAGTCTTCTTAAAGTCTTTTAAAGCCCAGTCCTTTACTTCCTTGGCCAAGTCTCATGTGCCTGTGGCAGAATACACATTGTGCTAATAATACTCCTTCTTTGAAACTAAAAGACACTAACTCCATCCTATTCTATATCATCCAGATGTATGCATTTGCAACAGTTCCATGTACAAATTAAAACTGGGACTTCATCCTAGACAAGACTGGTCAAATTTAAGGAATAGTTTTCTGTGAATGGTTCTATTTATATGAAAAAATAAAAAGTGCCTGAAGGAGATTTCCCCCCCATACTGAGGACTGAATCTTCCCACTGAACTGCATCTCCAGCTTTTTTGTTTCTTTATTCAATTTTTTTAATGTTGAGACAGGGTCTTACTAAATTGCTAAATAACCTAGGCTGAGCTCAGATTTGCAATCCTCCTGCTTCAGTCTCTCAGAGTGCTGGGATTACACGTATGCAACACCATGCCTGGCTAAGAACCTTTTTTTTTTGGTACTGGGGATCGAACTCTGACCTTGCGCCTGTGAGGCAGGTGGGGGCACCACTGAGCTAAATCCCGGACCCCCTGAGAATTTATTTTTATGTAACTGGGAATTGAACCCAGAGTCTTTGCACTGAGTTATATCCCCAGCCCTATTTTTTTGGTTTTTCTTGATTTTTTTTCGGGGGGGGGGCGTACCAGGGATAGAACTCAGGACCTTGCACTTGTGAGGAAGACAGCAGAACCATTGAGCTAAATCCCCAGCCCTATTTGTCTTTTTGGGACAGGGTTTCTCCAAGCTACTAAATTGCCTAAGTTGGGCTGAAACTTGTGATCCTCTCCCAGAGTCAGCCTCCCAGAGTGCTGAGAATATAGGCATGCACTACCCAAGCCAAACTGAAGGAAAAATATATTAAATTTGTTTATATCAAAGTTCCTCATTTAGGCCTAATCATATTTTTTACCTTATTTGGGGAAGAAGCCTATGCGTTAGAGGGCAGGGATATCCATCCATCCTCCCTCCCCCCTTCCTTCTTTTCTTTTATTTTATTATTTTTTGGGGACCAGGGATCAAACTCAGGACCTTGAGCTTGCAAGGCAGGTGGCGGAACCACTGAGCTAAATTCCAGGACCCCTTCTTTCTTTTAAAAGGTCTTGATTTAACAACTCACCTGTTGCATGGACAGACACAAAGGCCACAGCACTTGTTGAGTTCTGTTAAAGTCTTCTCTGTCTCTCTCATGTCTTTATTTATCTGATCCATGCCTTCTTCTATGCGGTTTAGTTGTTCTAAGAATGAGTTGTGGGAGTTAAATTTTGTGTTACATTCACAGTCTTAGCCAGAATATTCTACATCACAGAGCTCCAAACAGTAACCTCCAATCTACCAATAACATGCCATGGTGAATGCATCCATGTCAGAAGGTACCACAAAATATTCTACATGAAAGACTCTTTCACAAACTGATCTTGCAGCATCTGACCTCTAACTATAGAAAGATCTGCTCTAGGGCTGAGGATTTAGCTCAGTGGTGCCGCTGCATGCCTCACAAGCACAAGGGCCGGAGTTTGATCCCCGGAACCAAAACAAGAGAAAGATCTGTTTTAAAGAAATTTGTGCTGAGGGCCAGGAATTTAGCTCAGTGGTTCTGCCGCCTGCCTCGCAAGCACAAGGACCCAAATTTGATGCCCAGTACCAGAAAAAAAAAAAAAAACAAAAACAAACAAAAAACAAATATGTGTGGGCCAGGGATTTGGCTCAGCAGTTCTGCTCACTGCCTTGCAAGCATAAGGACCCAAGTTCGATCCCTGGTACCAAAAAAAAAAAGGGGGGCTGATTTAGCTCAGTGGTTCTGTCTTGCAAGCACAAGGGCCCGAGTTCAATGCCCAGTACCAAAGAAAAAGGAAAAAAGAAAGAAAAGAAAGAAATTTGTTCTGGATGTGGTGTGCATACCTATAATCCCAGCACTCAGGAGGCTGAGGCAGATGGATCACTGAATTTGAGGCCAGCCTGGGCTACATAGTGAGTTCAAGATCAGTATGAACTATGTAGTGAGACCTTGTCTCAAAAAAAAAAAAAAAAAAAAAAAAAAAAAAGGAAGAAAAGAAAGGGATACAGCAGGAGCATGAGGCTGGTTCAGAGGTACCCTTGCAACCAAGTGTATTTTGAGCAGACCAAATTCCTAGTATTTCTATCATTTAATGGGCTCAAAATTTGCAGGCTGTCACAAGACTAATAAAAACTAAACTGCATTACAAGGGCCAACTCAAATCAATTTTTTTTTTTTCTTTTCTATTGATCAATCGAGTGATTGGTTTTTTTGAGACAGGGTCTTGCTATGAGTTGAGGCTGGCCTCGAATTCATGGTGATCCACCTGCCTCAGCCTTCTGAGTGCTGGGATTACAAATGTGCTCCACCACACCTAGCTTATTTCTTTGATTTCTGAGATAGGGTCTCACTATATAGTAGAGGCTGGCCTCCAACTCCAATTTTCCTGCCTCAGCCTCCCAAGAGCTGGGATTTCAGGTGTGTGCCACCACACCTACCGCAAATCAAATATTTCTAGGCTCATCAGAATTTAGAGTTAATTTGATTACTAGGGATGATGCAATAATATCATGGGGGGCTGGGAATTTAGCTCAGTGGTTCCACTGCTGCCTTGCAGGCAGAAGGTCCTGAATTCATCCCCAGTACCAAAAGAAAAAAAAAAAAGAATATCATTAGGGTCAGGGATTTAGCTCAGTGGCACCACGTCTGCCTGGTAAGTGCAAGGTCCCGAGTTTGATTCCTGGTACCAAAAGAAGAAATTATGTCTAATTTCATAACCAATGCCACTATGCAGTGCTGGCTTAACACATATCTGGTAGACAGCTGGGCACTGTTACCTCTCATCCCAAACCAGCAAGAAAAGTGATATAATTCAAATCAGAAGAACATAAGGAAACACATTCCTCTTATTTCACAAAGGGAAGACACTCCTGTATTGATGAGTAGGGGATGGACAGGGCTTTTGGGCACTGTATGTCGAAGAGAGTTTCTACCAACGATTTCAACTCACCCCCTTGTTCATCCAGCATGGTGATGGTTTTGATTCCAGCATCCTGAGACTGAAAGGAGAGAGGGAAAACTGATCACACAGGAAAACAAACCCCAAATCACAGACACAAAACCTACAGACTGATAAATAGAACCATTTAGAAATTCAAGTGTTAAACCAACATACTAGAATATATTACTCCCTCCAAACATTTAAACCCACAAAGTCATGATGAATTCATCTTCCCTCTCACACTCCATCCAATACTGTCAAAAGGAAAAAACAGAAAAGGCCCCAGCAGTGTATGGCTTAATTTCAGCAACTCCTGCTTTCAAATAATGATGTATACTGAGACGATACCCTTTAACACCAACTCCAGTTCATGCTGTTACGATTGCTCATATGAATTTCTGTATTTAACTAAACACTTCTTACCTCAATGGCTAAGCCCAGGATTTTCCTTGTACTCTCCAGAGACTAGGAAAAAAGCAGAGTTTTAACATTCCAAAATATGTAGAGAAAACAAACAAACAAACAAAAACAGCTCAGCCCATGGAAGGGCTGGGGATTTGGCTCAGTGTTTGTGCCACCTGCTTTGCAAGAACATGTCCCAAGTTCGATCCTTCGTACAAAAAAACCAAAAAACCAGCTCATAGGCCATATTCATGATGCTGCTCTATTTTTTTTATTTTAACTTTTTGGTTTCTTGAGACAGGGTCTCACTATGTAGTTGAGACTGACCTGGAACTCACTACGTAACCCAGGCTGGTCTTGAACTCACAGAGATCCTCCTGCCTCAGCATCCTGAGTGCTGGCATTTCAGGTGTGCACCACCACTCCCGACTACTCTATTTTTAAAAGGTGCCAGGCCATCCCTTGCTTTTTTTTTTTTTTTTGGTACTGGAGCTCAAACTCCGGTCTTTGCCCATCCCTCTCTTTAAAACGAAACAAAGTCGGTCACCATTTCTTAGTTATTTTCTTCCTGCCAGATTCTCTTTGAGAGAAAATTTGGATGATAGAGTTAATAGAGAACATAAAAATGTAATTTAAATGAAATTTAAGGATATTACACATCTATCAGGAAATTGTTAAATAAAAAGAAAGTTTAGTGGGTGTGGTGGTACACGCCTATAATCCAAGCACTCAGGAGGCTGATGCAGGAGGACTGCTGAGTTTGAGGCCAACTTGTGCTACATAGTGAGTGAGTTCAGGGCCAGCCTGAACTACAAAGGGAGACCCTGTTTCAAACAAAACTAAACAAAACAAAGTTTAGAGTATCTTTGTTTCAAGGAACTATTTAGTAATGACTACCTAAAAAAAAAAAAAATCATATTGCTTTCATTTATGAAGTTTTTCTGGGAATGGGGGAAAAAAAGGCTAGTGATTACTATGGAACAAATGCATTCTTTGATAGACAAGAACCAGGAAGAGGCTAAAATGAGCTCTAGGAAGGTCATGTCGTTTGTCTACTGTGAAAACTGAAATAGAATCAATTATTTACTCACCTCGTCAGTGAGCTGGTTAGCCCTCAGCTGAATGTCTTCCTGTGACAGATTATCCATGATGAATCAGAATTCTACCAGGCACAGGGGTGGAAATGTGGATATTCTCTAAGAATAAGGAAATACAAAAGTTTGAGCAGAGAGTAGAGGAATGGAATTTGGGTATCAGGTAAACAGGATAAAAGAGCTGACCTCATTACCAGCACACACACGTGCCCCATGCGTAAGGAACTAAACTAAGAGAAGATAAATGGATATTTAAGGTTGATCAGTAACAAAGCTGAGGGACACTTTTCAATAGGAAAGTAGTCCCGCTACTTTGAGAAGCCAGGCATCACTGGAAGATAAACTCTGAGAGACTATTAAAATAAATTCTCAGCTGTTCAATGTTCTTCATATGTTATCTGAACATGGTTAAGCAATAAAGTGAAGAAGTCATCTGGATGCAGTCATGCACACCTGTAATCCCAGCAACATGGGAGTCTGAGGCAGGAGGCTCTCAAGTGTGGGCCCAACCTGGCCAATTTTAGCATTTAAATTTTAAATTAAAAATTTTAGCCAGGCATGGTAGCACACACCTGTAATCCCAGCACTTGGGAGGCTGAGGCAGGAGAATCGCTGTGAGTTCGAGACCAGCCTGGACTACATAGTGAGTTCTAGGTCAGTCTCAACTACATAGTGAGACACTGTCTCAAAAAAAAAGAAAAATTTTTTTAAGGGAATTTGATCAATGGTAGAACTGTAGGAACCAAGTTTTCTGATCAAGGTGGTCTCCCTCTTTGATCTTTGCTCAAAATATAAAGACCAACTTTCCTGGGCAGAGAAGCATTGCTAACAACCCCGTTTTTCTGTTCCTCTTTTTCTGACCCCGGGGTGAACTTATCTCCTCTCCGATAGTTGCTTAGAGATATATTATATGTTTTGCTGGGTATAGAGAGTTTGCCTAATTGTGTAAGCATATAAAGTGTTTCTTAAGAATAGAAATAGAGTGCCCCCCACTGAGCTCCTCATGGGTATGAGATAATTCCCCTCATGAGAATGAGATATTTCCCTTGAGTGTCCCAATAATAATCCTTAGTAATGGAAAGTTAAAAATAGTATTAATCCTCAGCCCTATATAAGCCTGTCTTGAAAATGGGTTGGGGCCTTCAGTTTGAAGCCACTGCGACAGTGACACTGAGGGTCCAGGCTCAAGCTTGCAATAAACTCCTTGTGTGTTTACATCAGAAGAGACTCCTTGGTGGTCTTCTTGGGGATTTCACGACTTGGGTACAACAGAACATGAAGCCTTGGGTTCAATCTCTAGTACTGCCAAAACCAAAACAAAACAGGACCAGGGATTTAGCTCAGAGGTGCCCTGCCTGCCTCGAAAGCACAAGGTCCAAAGTTCGATCCCTGATATCAACAAAAAAACAAACAGAAGAAGTCTAAGTAAGACCATGTGGCAGTAAAATAATTCAAAGTTATATGAACTAAAAACACTGGAATCACTTTTTTGTTCAGAGTTCCAGAGAAAATGGTTTACTGCTTTGCTTCTAGAAAATAAGATATTCCTGGAACTTTTCTTGGAACTGTAGGACTTTTCTAAACCCTATGTTGTCAGCTGAAGAAGTAGCACTTCCTTAACGTAGACACCCTGGCGGAAGCAGGGCCTGGGCCTCAAGGCACTGCTCTGAAGGGGGCCTGCCCTTGCTGTGTGTACTGTCAATCAGGCTGGACTTCCTGCCCTGACTGCCTGGGGTCGCCCTCCTCCTCCAGCACCTACTCTCAACTCCCCCTCATCACACCCCCCAAGAATTCTGTATGGCACCCAACCATGCCACTTTAGGGCCAAGGTGGCGCATGCCTGTAATCCCAGCACTTGGGAGGCTGAGTCAGGAGGATCGATGTGAGTTTGAGGACAGCCTGGGCTACATAGTGAGATCTACATCAATGAATAACTTAAAAAGGACTGGGGATGTAGCTCAGTACAGAGGTAATGGGTTCAAATCCCAGTACTGCTAAGAAACAAACAAAACATTTAGTTAGGTCTCACTCTGTACCACTACTGTATGAAATCACAAACAGCAACAAGGGCTGTGGAATGGATCTAGGTTCTTTTCTTTATTACATTTGCTAACTTTGTATTAAATTTTTGCAAACTAACTTATCAAAGCTCTTGGACACCAGGCCAGTGATTTAGCTCAGTGGTCCTGCCACCTGCCTTGCAAGCAGAAGGTCCTGAGTTTGATCCCCAGTACAAAAAGAAAAAAGCTCTTGGACACCAACACACATAAAAAAGTCTAGTTCACATTCTAGATTTTCCCCCTGGCACCTAGCAGTGTCTGGAAGCATTTTTGATAGTCACAACTTGGGGATGGGGATGCTACCGGAATCTAGTGGGTGGAGGCCAGCGAACTATTACACACCTCATACACCTGTGAAAGCCCTTCCACAAAGAACAATCAGGCCTCAAACATCAAAGTGCCACAGTGAGAAGCCTGCTTATGGAGTTTGCTCACTGAGAAGCACAGAACCTAGTTACCCAGGGAAGCAACACAAGACTGAACTCTTGGTGGGGAGGGATGTGCTCTCTCTTTATCTCCAGTATCTATCACGATTTGATAGTAGGTACTCAGGAAACTACAGAATGAACAAATAAGTACAAAACAGGCTGCCCTCTCAAAATAAAGCAGCTCTTAAGAAAAAAAGCTACACATGATGGTATTACCAAACCTCCAAACTGCTAGAGCCACAAGCTGAAAGTTGCAAATGCTCATGTATGACATGGAACAGCCTGCTGGTAACACACAGATCTTTAGCTCTCATCTAGTATTCAGGAGGCCCTAGGTTCAAATCCTACTACCACAAAAAAAACAAAAAAAAATCAAAATCCAAACAAAACCAAACATTTTTAGTCATGCTCAGTAAAATTACTATTGACCATCATTTTAATAAAGTCATCTTTAACTTTTAAAAAATGCATTTTCAGTATACGGAGTTACTGCAAGGCAGGCATGGTGGCACACAGCTATAACCCCAGCACTTTGGGAGGCTGAGGCAGTAGGATGCCAAATTCAAGCCCAATTTGGGCAATCTGGCAACTCATGAGACCCTGTCTCAAATTAAAAAGTAAAGAAAACCAGCTGGGGATCTAGCTTACTGCCTAGGCTCTCGGTTCAATCCCCAGCATTGCAAAAATAAACAGATGTTCCTCTTTAATTACAACTGTTCAGCCCATGAGCTGCTGCTAGGACTTATGTCATTTTTTGTGTGCATATAGTTCTGTGCATGATGTTTATAGAATCTCAATGTCTTTTTTATATGGCACACCTTGTTTATATGGTACTGTAATTTTTGCTGATTATACTGTACAGTACTGTAGTTTTATGTCCTGCTATACATTACAGTACTGCACAAGAAAGTTATGCAAATAAAGGCAAAGTCATCACATTGGGAGTTTCCTCTGACAATTTCTTTGGGTTTTTTGTTTTGTTTTGTTTTTTTGAGACAGGGTCTCACTATGTAGTTGAGACTGACCTGGAACTCACTATGTAGCACAGGCTGGTCTCGAACTCACAGCGATCCTCCTGCCTCAGCCTCCTGAGTGCTGGGATTACAGGCGTGTGCCACCATGCTGGCTCTTTGTTTTAATATTGTAATGTGCATACTATATCCAACTCCTCATTCATCAATCAATTCAATTAACAACCTAGTCTCAGGAACATGACTCAGTCTTTAAAGGAGAAATGTCTGTAAATGTTTTTAAAAAGACTCTGCAATTGGAGTCCTGTTTATAATTCTGTCATAGCTAAACTTTTGGGGGGGTGCAGGGGAATCAAACCCAGGGCCTCACAGATTTAATTAAGCTTTTATCCCTTGAGAAAGTCTCATGAAAAAAAGTTTTTTAAATTCCAATTTCAACATTGCATTTTTCATACCTGTGGTAAAGGGCAAAAGATGAATATACTAAAATATGTTATCAAGACATTAAGGCCTTTCTTGAATTAACAACTGTTCATGTGTTAAAATTCACACACAAATAGAACCATGTGCTTTATTTGCTAATCATTTATGAGACTAGCTTTCTCACACATGTCCCATGCTACCATTCCTCTTTAGCCATTCTTTCTTATTTACAGCAATGAAAAGAAAGTTTTTATTTGTTTGTTTTTTCAGTACTGGAGATTAAACCTAGGACCTTTATACTATGTTCCCAGCCCTTTTCATTTTTCATTTTGAGACAGGGTCTCATGAAGTTGCTAAGGTGCACAGGCTGAAATTGAACTTGTGTTCCTTCTGCCTCATCCTCCCAGAGTGCTGGGATTACAGTGTGCACTGTCCATCACATCTGGCAGAAGAGGAAATTGCTTTTTTACACCCTTTTGCCTCTGGATTTTTGTATACCTTTCTTTTCTGCCTGTCCAAGTGGACTCATGTTTCTCCAGCACTTCCTAGAACCCCAATCAAATCCTGTGCCTCCCAGGCAGTATGCTCTTAGGTCACCTGTCTCTCTAGTGTGCAACTCCTCAATGTCCAAGAGAGAAAAAAACAATAAAAATAAGATACACTAATCAAATGTTTACTGAAAACCACATTGCAGTTAGGTTTTTAGACATAACATCCTGCTGGTAGGGAGACTTCTAGGGTAAGAAAGCATAGATCACTCAAATTATACAATTGTGTAACTGCACCCCTAGAGGTGATTATTGCTAATTACAAGTCAGTATTTGCTATCCTACTAGTAAAATTCCACACAGTTTCAAAGAGATGCTTGAATGCACAAATGCATTGAAGCCAATGGGAAAGCGAAGAGAGATTTCAAAGCAGAAGGTAGCGGGCTGCACTTTCTCCCTGAGCCCAGACTCACTGTATGGGAGAGGGATCTTGAACCTGCAGATGCATGGTGATTATTAGCAACTCCAGAGGTCTTCACAGAGAAACACACCAGTGGACAGAAACAGTGGACACAGAGGACTGCAGTGGCTGTCCTTGGGTTCAGACATCCCCCAGGAAGGGTGACTGGCTGGTAGACATCTTGGAGAGGGGCCAACTAAGTCAAAACTCAGAACACCTGCAGGTTGGCTCCATCTAGTGGCTCCTGAATTCCCAGAGGCTGCCTCACCAGA